TATTATTATTATTATTATTATATTATCCAGATTTCTATACCTGTCACACATCAATCAAAAAAGAGCTGCTGCAGATCTTGAGCTTACAGATGACCGAGCCATCTTCCGTAGAACCTACATGTATCTTTATCAACACCTCTGCTCAGGGAACACCAACCTTTTCCTCAAATACCCCTCTGTGGGGGGGGGGAGTTCACCTCTTTTCAAGGCACACCTCCTTTAGTCCCAAGGGTTTTCCCTTAAAGGAAGTCCACTATACAGGGTGAAGGTTTGGTAAGGATCCTATCTACTTGTAAGTTCAACAATAACAAATACTGATAAGTTATACATATTACATCATTTTTTCATGATAGTTCTGCCAAGTCCTAATCACTTGACAGCCAGACAGTTACTGCAATGTGACAATCCAGTAGCCAAACAAACAGAGGTGAAAAAAAAACCCTTGATGTTTTAAAATTGTGTGCATGTATGTATTGTGTGACCCAAGTATAATTGACAGACCAAGAACCTCATAAGTCAAAAGGTATGTTTGCTGTTCAACTAACAAGGAAAAACCAAACCCAGTGCATAACTAAAAATCTTCATAATACCGTGACGACTGTTAAGTATTCGATTCGACTGAGGAAAACATTCAAAATTTGAACAATTTCTCTTTCAATTATGATTCACATTTTCCAACTCAACAGGCAAAGATTAGTAAAATAAGCCTGAAATAGACGAGAAATATTTGTTTTCTTCTTCGCCTTATTGGTAGAAATACTTCATTTGCCGATGAAAGCGACGCAGAAATTAAAATATTTCAAAAACAAGTTTCATTTGCATGTTTACCAAGAGACATCGACACTGATTGAATCAAACACGCGAGATACTTAAATCGGTAGCCAGTAAAAGCATACACCGTTATAAAACTAAAATCGATACTTTTACGGCATTTGTTCAGTTTTAAGGTCGTAAATTGGAAAATTATCTTGAAAGATGCTACATATTTCGTGAGCGGAGCTGAAATGTGTTGTAAACATGGAACGTCCGTATATGCAAATTACTATCAGAATCTACTCCTTGTGTCATGCGATCTTACAGTGACAAACATTAACCGCTCTCTCGTTCATCACGATATTAAACTAGAAGCTAACCAGCGACAGCCACCATATTACACAGCATCTTTGCAAACATAATATTACGTTTTTGCACCGCTGAACGTATCGCCTGTCTAGGAATAGGTCGAAGATTGGGTTTGCTATCCTGAAGAGAAAACGTGACATAGGCAGCCCTCGAAACGTGTTGAGTAAACCACTAAGCTTTCCTTATGACGCGACGAAACTCAACCGAAATGACACAGTAATAAACAAAAATTACTTCATTCGAGAGTATTTTCTAATTATTTAGAGTCTGTAGGTTAAAATGCGGCTTTCACTGCCTCGTAAGCTGAAAAAAAACGTACAAACAACCTTTTGTTAGAAAGACTGCGTTAATTTATGCAGTAACAGAACCGAAAACCATTACATTTCAAAACCTACGCAAGAGAAAAAACCCACAACGGTTAGAAAATAAAACTTGAAGCTTCCTGCAGGAAAGGGTGAGGTAAAATTTTAAACATACCTTGTGAATTCAATGATTGAGACGAAGAATCCGAGGAGAAAGAAGCCGCTGCGACCGAAGCAGCTGAAATTCCCTCGCCGGGAGCAGTTGGAGCGCTATTGTCAGTGGACATCTTTTCACGGATGTTGTTCAATTATTTGATTAGAAACTTCGCAAAAAGTTCCTTTTCTCATCCAGATTAAGCAGACGAAACACTCAGAAGAAAACCACGTTCAAATGTACACGGCACGGCTTTACTAAGAAGAGGTCTACGGTCGTTTTCCTACAACAATCAAACTTCACGAGAAATCGACTAAAGCACAGCTGAGAGATATGTCAAACGCTTAAAAACTAAAAAAACGTTCATTCCTTTTCACGAAAAGTGTACTTTCGGTTCCTCCGCGGGTGCCATAACAAAGGGTTTTCTCAAGCATAAAGCGGCGTGACTTGCAGATATTTACACTGGCCTGATATCCGACAGTTTTCAATTCAATGAAATGCAGAGAAAATTCGCGACCTTCAACTCTTGTCGTGAATAAATAATCAGCTTGGGCGAATTGAATTGGCGCCACTTCGAGACAGGAAGTAATTTACTCACTGAACCGAGGCTGGCGTTTGAAAGTAACAAAACACTGTTGGTAACACTTGATTTAGACCTTTTTTGTAACGGCTATTATATTAGTGGCTTACATGTTTCTCTTCTTTCTTCATGTTAACGGAGAAAAGAAAAATGGGCTGTAGCAGCTAATAAGTACGTGACTTCCACCGTACGATGCGTTCGTGAAAAGTAAGTTCTTCGCACTCCGAAAATTGAAGGTCTTAGCGAATTTTTTTTTAAAGGAGCACTCTCATGAAACCGCCCTATAATTTGAAAACCCGAAAATTTCAGTTATTTCATTATCATATGAATTTTTAGCGATTAATAAAGCCTTTTCAATATTATTTTTAGTTGAAAGTCAATTCTAGGGCGAGAAATTACGATTGGAAAACCGTTCCGCCATTAATTTTCGTAATCACGGCCAACTTATCTTCGGTCAGCGGTCACTCCCATTGTTTATTTATTAATTTATAAAAACTTTATTGTAATAATCAATACAAAAGGCTGCCATCAGAAAGGAACTGAATCCTCATGTTAGATGACCCCAAAAATATCTACAAAGCTATGAAGGAAATATAAATCGGATAAAAAGTATTTGTTAGAAAAAATGTAAAAAATATCACTAAAATGTATCTATCAAAATGGAGTTATTAAAATCATCTAATCATCTAATTAAATATGCAATCGCAACAATTTTCTTATTCATCACACTCTAGTTAAAATGTCTTCCCTTAAGCCCTTTTTAAATTTTGACAATGAATTGATCGGCTCATATCAGTGAATCTGGTAACGAGCTCCATTTATCTATATATCTATGCCAGAAAGATAATTTAAAGATATTAGTTCTTGAAAAAGGTTTCCAAATCTTCCTACTATTTCTTGATCTAGTGCTAGCACGAGAGAACGATAAATAATTATCAAGCTTAACTCTCGAGAAACCATTAATAAACTTAAATAGTTGAATCATCGATAGATATTCCCTACGGGACTTAAGTTCCATCCAGCCAAGGTATTGCAGACGTTCGGTATAATCAATAGGTCCAGCAAGGATCCAGCGTGAGACATTTCTTTGGATTCTTTCAAGTTTGCCTGACGGGTAGGCTTGATGTGGATTCCAAACGGGACATGCGTATTCGATGATAGGACGAACCATTGTTTTTTATCCAGTTATTATTGCTTCAGAGCACCTGTCAGATGTGCGTTTTAGTAGACCCAAGATCCTGTTAGCTTTAGCAGCTATTGTAAGGACATGAAGTTTCCAAGATAGATTAGATGAGATTGTTACACCCAGATGCTTGTGGGTGACTACTTGTTCCAAGGGTAAAGAGTTGATGGAATACGAACACTCTCCATTAACCTTAGATCTTGTTATTCTCATGCACTTACATTTAGCTTCACACACCTTTAAAAGCCACTGTCTACACCAGTTGGACATACAAAGTAAACCAGCTTGAATTGGAATTGAGACCTCATTGACGGTTGCTGAGTTGTGGAGCAAAGTATCATCTGCAAACATATCACTAGAACAAGGAATACATTCAGGGATTTCATTTACGTAGAGTAAGAACAAAAAAGGCCCAAGAATACTCCCTTGGGGAACCCCTGAAAGTACTGTAGCCCAGCTGGAGGTGGAACCGTCAATAACGACCCGCTGGCGTCTATTTGAAAGGAAGTCACAGAGCCAAGTTAGAATTTTTCCTTGTATACCATATTGACTGACTCTGTGAATAAGACGGTTATGAGGTACCAAGTCAAAAGCCTTTGCAAAGTCTAAAACACAACGTCAGTTGTTTTTCCATTGTCTAACGCTGAGGCCCAGGTATGGAACAGATGAATCAGTTGAGATGTGCATGATAATCCCGTTCTAAAACCATATTGGTGGACACTTAGTAAATGATACTGATCAACAAAGGCTGAAATATGCCTTGCCATAAGTTTCTCCAGCACTTTAACCACCTCTTTGGATAATTCCTTTAAACTGTGCAACTCCGTTAATGTTTTTAAAAATCGTTTAAGGACCAAATTACTCAAAGAGTTGTAATTTTATATATATATTTGTATATTTTTATTTTTATTTTAGAACATTCAGAATTTAAAACATCTTTAATTGTAAATAGGATTTTATAATTGTAATAGGATTATTTTTATAACATTGTCTTTGAAAAGCCCCCTTGGGGAAAGTCAATAAAGTATGTATGTATGTATGTATGTAAGGAGATTGCTCGGTATCTAGTTACAGTCTCTTTAACTCCCTTCTTAAATACTGGCATTATGTTAGCAGATTTCCATTCACTGGATAATTTGCCTAACTTCAGAGAAATGTTGAATATCTTTCATAAAGATGGTGCGATTGTCGATGCCGATTCTCTGAGCATACGTGCTGTTATTCTATCAGGACGGCAAGCCTTATTGTGACGAAGATTACTCAAAACACTTTTATATTTATACGGAAGCCTCGTGAAATTTAGTGAAATAGTCTTAGTCTCAGTGTTATATAAAGCAATGTATACGATCAAAATACTGTTTTTGAAAGTTAGCCAAGAGCGCGGCGCGTCAAATGAGTAATCTCCAAACTCGCGCCAGTCTTCTTGAGCCTGGCAAATGATTACGAAAATTAAGGGCGGAACGGTTTTCAAATCGTAATTTCTCGCCCTAGAATTGACTTTCAACTAAACTTATTATTGGAAAGGCTTTATTTATCGCTGAAAATTTATATTATAATGAAATAACTGAATTTTTCGGGTTTTCAAATTACAGGGCGGTTTCATAAGAGTGCTCCTTTAAGTTGTGATGAACGAACTGTTTTCCCCTCATGTGACTATGTGAGCACGAACACATTATCACTGCATATTAATATCTGAGGAATTTAGATATGGTGAAAACCTTTGCCAATCTAAAACAGGAGAAAATAAGACTAGAGACTACTGATAATGGGAATTTTATTGGAAAAAAAAATATGACTCATTGATTGAGGTGGAAATCGATTTTATCATCATCCAACGAGCTCACGGTTATCAAAGGTCTTCAGAATAGACTCTAAGTTGGTCTGTAACAACCAATCTGATTGACAAGTAGCCCAGATTTCACTCAAAAAAAGGATGTAGTTTGTCATGTCACAAGTGTAGGACAGGGAAAAATCATCTGGAACCGCCAGACCTTCGGATTCCAGGTTCATCGCTCCGATGCCTCTACTTATGAACTGCAAAGACCTTTATGAAGAGCTAAGTCAATAGTAAGTTCATGTGTGGAACACATATGATGAAAAGGGCTGTGCTCATATCTTGTTGAACTAATTACTAATGGATTAAAATCGTTTTCACAAGTTATTGTCTAAAGAGGACTGAAGTTGTAAAATGCAGTCGAAACGTCGCAATCCACGTTGAAAGTGTCGATCTATACCGCAAGACAAACGATTTTGCTTCATTGCAAGAATATTAAAATTTGCCGTATTATGGGATACTTTAGATAAAAACCGTGAACAAAGTTTGGGATAAGCTTTCCAAACGTTTTGGGTTTGACCCTTCGTCATGAAAGGAAGACAAGTAAGTTGCATGCGATCGCCGGCCGTGAATATGGTCTCAATTAGGGATTAAAAATACATTTTAAAAGCAATGATCCCCCAAAGAATTGGTGTTTCAAAGTGGTGAAACCAATTTCAGCCACCTTAAAATGCTCGCCGAAAAGGAAAACCAGTAATTTTTTTGCTAATACCTCAAAGGTGTCCGTCGAAGCGTTTTCTCAGTCTTCGCCCTGTTTCTTCAATATAGAATTAGTATATTGCAGGGGAATATGAAACAGTTCATATTCTCTTGTATATTGAAATCCACGTAGACGCAGGGAGCATGTTCATTTCAAGGTAGACTCGGTAACACACAGTCGTTTGGCAACCAAAAAAACTTTTTTATTTCATTTGCCTTAACACTCTTAGCTAACGTGAACGTATCCCCGAAGAATATTTCAAAAAGTGGGATTCCCCTGAAGGACTCTCTTCTCTTCTCATCAATGTTCTTCATGCCCTGTACGATTAAAAAGATTAATACACATAAGGAAACAATATAAAAAAGATTAATATACATAAGGAAACAATATAAAAAAGATTAATATACGCAAGGAAACAAATAAATCAAATCAAAGTTTCACTGATAATAAACTGAGGGATTGAACTACAACTTTATTTCTTTTCCTTTTAGATGGGATAATATTCCATTTTAAGTTATCCCTCCTTCCATCCCACCTTCCAGTATTTTTCAGTCTGCCTGCTTGTTTGTTGCCGCTGGTCTTTGCGCCGCCGTCGCATGCGCGGTTGGAAGCCACCAATTTAAATCTTCTCTATATCTTTCAGTTTTTGTCTCGATTTTGAATTTTTAAGCACGCTAAACATTTAGTACGAGTTTCCTGACGCCTCCGTGAAGGAGTTTGGAGTAAAAGTTTTGATTTTACAGTGGAATCGCGATTTCTTGAACCCTCGGTTTCTCGAACCTTCCGATATCTCGAACCAAACCTTGTTTCCCTTGGATTTGCTTCACTGGTAATTTCACCCCCGATTTCTCGAACTCCCGATTTCTCGAACCAATTTGCGTTTCCCCTGGAGGTTGGAGAAATCGGGATTCCACTGTACATGGTTAGCCACCGTTTGCAGGAACTTTACTTTTAATCCTGGATGGATACAGGCACTCTTAGAGTTACATACCCTTGGATAAAAACTGACCGAACAGGAACGCAACTCTCTGTGCCAAACCTGTTCTCTTACTGTTGATCTATTTACCAGGCTTAGCCAGACAAAAGTAGACAGTCCTTTAGGTCTGATCTACCCTGACCCTAAGAAAAGCATAATCTACCTGAGTGACTTAATTGGTCTGCTGTTGGCACTTTTTTCCTGCCATTCCAAAGGGAAGGAGAACTTTTTCTCGTACTTCTTTGCATCCCCATTGCAATGGAAACCGTTCATCTCTGCACTTTTTGGGACATCTTCGTGGTCGTCGTTGACAATTGGGGTTGGGCACTTAATCCCGATATCCTCGCAGTGGACCTGAATTCCCTTCCCCTGCCTGGGGCAATGCTGGGTAATCTGCTGATATTCTTGTAAGCGCTTGTGAAGGAGGTCATAAGGCATGTAATTAAGGTAGCCGCACTTTCCAATCCCTTTAGGAACAGGTGCAGCCAAATTACCAGCTCGTTTCTCAATCATTGTTTCTTGGCCTTTGTACACAAGCTGTGTATTCTCCATTATGGGATGCCACAGAGCCAATTCAAGGTCGCCGAGAAGCTTTAAAATGCGATTCAGCTCATGTTGTGTAATCCAGCCTTTACAGAAGGAAAGGTATGCGCCAAAACCCATTCCAGTGGATACAGCATGACCGTGAAGCATTCCCGCAGGGAGCTCGTACCCAGGGCTCCACGTATGCCCATACGCGTGTGGTCGACACTGGTGCGTTTCGAACATGTTACTATATTCCGATCTCATGTAGCTAAAATTAGAATGAACGAAAAAGTGAAAATTAGGACAACGTGTAACAAGAGGGACATAAGTAATGCATTCTTTACGAGTGAAAATTAGGGATAGAAAAACGGCCTTTCGATTTGTCATCTTGGTTAGTCACGTCAAAATTTAGGAAACGCAAGCGATGTGATTAAGGAATCTAAGAGATATGTTTCATTTTGACTTACTAAAGGATGAAGAAGCTTTCACGAGCGATAACTTGAACTGCCTCAGCCCGTCTCTTGAGGGTCTCGGGCTTCGAAGCACTCGTTTTACTGAACGAACGAGAACCTTGCACAAGCTAACACCTTGCTTCACATTTCGGTTAAGTCCGTTGCTTATTTCCGTTCTTACTCTGGGAGTTTTTCTCTTACTTGGTAACCCAACTAAAGGCTCCAAACTAAAAGTATCGGACTATTCGCGCTATTCGGCTGACTCGAGGCTACTACAACTTCTTACTTAAACAATCTTATAGATCTAATCTATACGTACTCTTCAAGAGCTTTGCCGATAATCAGGTCACAGACATCTTCAAAGGATTTTCGATCCCCTTGGAAATCTTCCATCTCAGTGCCAAATTTGGTCCACAGAAGAGCGGAGGCCTCCTGCTCGAGAAGACAGAAGAGTTCTTCATCCTTAACTATTGCCATCTTGACAATTTCAGCGATGCCATGCCGCAAGCAGCCGCGATGAAGCGTTCGAAAGAAGCTTCTGTCAGTAAGCGCCAGGACAGGAGGGTGAAACGAACCGAAGAGGTTTTTGAAGCCAAATCCATCGCACCCAGTGCGAGGTGACAGGCCCGCGTCGATGGCCGCCACAACACTTGTGGACACCATGATGTAGGGTGTGTTGCGGTGGTACAAAGAGGCAGCACAAGCAATGACGTCGTGTAATACACCATTACCGACCACTAAAATAGGCTCGTTTCTTCTTACGCCGAGCTTCTTTAACAGCACTAATGTACTCTGCACTGTGGCTATGTCTTTGTCGATTTCTTCTGCGGAAAGGACAAGCTTCTTTAGCTCGATAGAAAACTCGTCGAAGTAAGCCTGTAGGGCCGCGCCGTAGATCTTTTCCACATTTTTGTCAACTACCGCCACACATCTAAAAAAAAAACAAATAAAATTATAATAAACAACAGATTAAAAGTTAAACGTAGTGTGTGTGTGTGTGTATGTGTGTGTGTGTGTGTGTGTGTGTGTGTGTGTGTGTGTGTGTGCGTGTGTGTCGAAGTAAGCCTGTAGGGCCGCGCCGTAGATCTTTTCCACATTTTTGTCAACTACCGCCACACATCTAAAAAAAAAGACAAATAAAATTATAATAAACAACAGATTAAAAGTTAAACGTAGTGTGTGTGTGTGCGTGTGTGTGTGTGTGTGTGTGTGTGATGTGTCAACATAGACTAAGCAACCAACCTTCCAATGGGCTGATACACGTTTCTGAGCTCGTGGTTGGACGGGCTCAACACCCCGTAAACTATCTTAGCAGTTGTTGTCAGTGTATATTTACTGGTGCACGCGACTAGGGATGCGTCTGATTTTGCCAGGACTTCTCCTTCACATCTTCCGTAAATGGAGGTCGGGTAGATGCCGTGTGGGTCAAACTTCTCGAGATGATCAGCATTCTCCAAGTAACATTCTGGGCAGTCTGTCTCTTGAAGGAAACGGCACAAAGGCTTGGTTCGCAGGGTCTTATCGGCTGTCAAAATCTTAACCATCTCATTCCATTTGGAAATTGCTACAGTATTACTTGAAGATCTGCCATCAAAACAGAAAGAATGATTTCTAAAAGTATGTATGAAATTAATACAGTGGGTTTTCTTAAAACGGTTTTATTACTTATTAAATACTTATCCTAGACTGATCGACGCCTTTATATTTGTTCATTTGTTTACTTGGAAAAGTGTGACAGAAATGCCTGACATTATTTCTGAAAAAATTTCTTACCCTTTTCTTGACAAATATACCTTAGCAACCCTACAGCTTCTATGAAACTCTCTTAATTCTACCCTGGTTTGCCTGAAAGACCAAAATGATTTCGGTGACCTCCGTTTTGATTTATCGAATTGCAGTCAGAACAATTTAATTTTTTATCTGTCCATTAGGTTTAAAACAAACTCGAATTAAAGTACCTACAACATAATTTTATTTTAACTTAGTTAGCTGACTTAGCTAAACTATTTAGAGGGCTACAAACAAAGAAGACCGATGCTTGTGTTGGTTGTCAAACTTTTCTCACCATTCTTGGACTTTTGCGTTATTTTTTTTGTCTCGTCCAGTACAACTTAGAGATCAGGGAACAGGAATTCTCGCGACAAAGCGGTAAAAAGAAAATGGATTTCTTGACAAACCTTTGCAAAAGACCGGCAAGTTGCTGTAAAACAGCACCAGTTGGTTGGTTGTAGAAGTACTTTAGTTTCCTGACCATCAAAAGGGACTCTAGATCATCGCTAAATGATTTTGCCAGATCTTTAGAGAAGACGTCAAGGCGAGAGGTGCGAATGAGGAGGTCACTGACAATCGAGTTAGCAAAGATTTTCCGGGCGAGCTCTTCCGCTGTTTGCAAAGGATCATCACAAACCTCCAACGGAAGGTTCTCAAGAGACTTGACGGACGAGTATATTGCAATCTGAGATCAAAGAGAATCCGTAAATTGCTGAAATCATGATAGTCATAATCAAGGGCAGTCATCATCACACATGCTAAGACGTTCGCGTTTTCTGGTTGGTTCCTTTGAACCTCGTAAAACTCCGTTTGTTAAAATGACTTTTTATAACTTGACATATTCTGAGCCATTTACCGATCAATTGTCAGAAATAAAGTCTGGTAGTTTTCAGCTTGCTTGGCTCATTCTTAAATAATTGTTCTCACTAAAACATTCAATTCACTATCAATGAAGTCTGCTCTCGAGCCTAATGGCTTACATGGCGCCAGAGGTAGCTAGGAATCATGTTTCTCCCCACCCTCGGGCGGGCTAGCCCCCAGTATCCGAATAAGTTTTCCAGGTTGTTTGACGATACTCATTTATACTGAAAGCCTACGATAATCCACATTGAACAAACTTCCCCTTTTATCTATCACTTCAACGTTTTGTACTGAAACGCAAACTAACATAAATGAACAAGAGGGTTTCACTTTACTACCATGCATCTGTAAGGGAGAGGGGAGGGGTTATCATGGACTCGTAAGAAACATAAAAAACTGGACGGGGGGGTCATTAGAGCGGGAAACTTACCAGAAAGCTAAAAAGTTTCGGATGTGGGCTCATTAGCGAGGGGAGCGTGAAGGAGGAGGTGGTCAGTTGAGAGGGGGATTTTTTAGAGACTTGAAGTTCTGGGCAAAGGCCTATAGCAGAGGGAAACTTAGTATAGAGGGGGGTGAATAGACAGGGGGCTTATTAGAGAGGGGGCGTATTAGAGAGGGGAACTTAGTAGAGAGAAGGGCTTAATAGAGAGGGAGAGGCTTATCAGATATCAGAGAGGGGGTTTATTAGAGAGAGGAACTTAGTAGAGAGGGGGTTTAACAGAGAGGGGGCCTTAATAAACAAGGGGTGCTTGTTAGAGTGGGGTGTATTAGAGAGGGGGCTTATCAGAGAGAGGAACTTATTAGAGAGGTGGGCTTAATGACAGGGCTGCTCGTTAGAGAGCGTGTATTGGAGAGCGGAACCTCAATAGAGAGAGAGACTTGTCAGAGAGGTGGCTTATTGGAGAGGGGAACTTAGTAGAGAGGTGGGCTTAATGACAGGGGTGCTTGTTAGGGAGGGGGTGTATTAGAGAGGGGGAAAGTCAGTAGAGAGAGGGGCTTAATAGAGAGAGAGACTTGTCAGAGAGGGGGCTTATTAGAGAGAGGAACATAGTAGTGAGGGGGAGTAGTAGAGAGGGGAACTTATATTTCTATATAGTTTTGCTATATTAAATTTTTTTTTAATTAGAGGGGGTAACCCTTGTATGGTGCGTCAGCGCTTTTGGTTGTCACCTCCACAACTTTTCCTTTTGTGGTTTTTATTAACCTTAACTGTATTTAATACTTATTGTTTGTGTATTCTTGTGGAGTGAATTTTTAATAAATAAATAAACTTAGTAGAGAGTGGGGCTTAAAGGACAGGGAAACTTGTTAGAGTAGGGGACCAAGGAGAAAGGAGACCTTAGTTAAAAATGAAAATTCTGGGAGGGGCCTGTTGGAAAAGGAAGCTTTGAAGAGCTATGAGAGGGAGTTTAACTAGATCATTTCTGGCATTTAATACCATTTACACTCGGTCAGTTCTTTAGATGGGTGAAAAAGCTCCTCCCAAGTTTAATTTGGTGAGATGTGATATACCTTCTCATTTTCAGCTGAAGTTTCCGACCAGTGTCCCAGGTTATCTTGGCTGGTTGAGTTGATGGACATGTTGCTCTGCAAAATACCCTTGCTTAAATTCAATTTGAAGTGCGAAAACCGTCTGCAAGATATAGCAAGCAGGACAATATGCGACATGTCAGTTGTTGCTAATAAAAGTTATGAGAAAATGACCTTAAACATCGATTGCAAACTCGTACTACATGACAGCTCTAGTATAAGCTTCTTCACAACCAACCACAGTGTAATATGCAAGAGCGTCGCTGAGATGTTTCTGAGCGAGAAAAGAAGTGGAGGGGGGAGGGGGGAGGCATATTTATTAATTCTCATGCGCCTTAAGAGAAAAGGATTATAATGCTTCTCTTACGCAGAAAATATATTTGACGCGGCAAGAAGGACAGGCAAACGAAATATCTCTCACTGGAAAAGATCTATGCCGCGTAGATTCTTCTGATTTTCATCTTCGCCGCTTACGTGAAAATTTGCAGTACTTTTACTTTGCGAATCGTTACTGTTGCCAGATGAAATATCCGCACCCTCTCGAGTCCGATCTTTGTTACTAATCGTAGATGAAAGTGGCTCAAGTAGCAATGCCAGCATGATTCGCATATTTTGATAATTATCGGATCATTTTTGATGCTACAATTTGATCATTGTTCATCTTTACTCCCAAGCACTTGGTGACGTTATTCGATGTTTTAAGTTTTAGTTCAAGTACGTAGTAGCATTTGTAGTTCACTGTGAATTACTGAGCGGCGTCTGAAACGGTCTGAGCCCGGGTCTGGGGTACACCAGAACCGGAAGTCACATCGTAGGCCATGTTGGTCCCAGTACCTCTCATCAGGCAAGGCCACAAATTACAAAGTGGCGCAATCGTAGATAAGCTACATGAGAGTGTAGTCTGGTACTAGTGTGCATGTTAACTTAAAACACGTTTATTTGAATTTCATTGTGGATTTGTTGCGTTTCTTTCTCGTAGACCAGCGGCTTCTAATTAAAAGATGTATTTTTCGGACTTATTTGCAGTTTTTTCAAAGAACATTATTTTAAAAAAAGGGACATAATTTGTAAAAAAAGAGCATAATTTTAGCATAATTTCGCCAAAAAAAGCAACGCTACTAGCCTAATATGCTACTTTTACTAGCATAATCTATAAAGGCCTATTCGCGGTTTACATCGGGCAAGGCAATTTTGGGTCTCTTGCCCAAGCCTTTTCGGTCAAGATGGCTGGATTGGTCAGCGTTCTATTGTTTTGAGATTTGTCAATTTGATGGGAAAAACACATCAGTATGAAGGTTTGTAGCCAATGCTTCTCGGTCTACATCTCACGCAAAAAAAAAACCCTGATTAAAATCAGCGAGCGAGCCCACAATACGCCATGAATTTTGGTCAGAGGATTCTTTGGTACAACAGTTGTCGCTGTAACATCTCAGTATGGATGCACAAGCACAGTTGAACTATTGCATTGGAGGCTTATTACATTTAGGACCAAATGTTATTACATTTAGGACTTAATTACAATTAGAAGAAAATGTTATTGCATTTAGGACTTTATTACTCTCAGGAAAATTATTACATTTAGTAGGACTTCAACATCGGTCAGCTCTCTCCTCCCTTTCCTGTTCGAAAGTTCTCACGTTTGACCCGTAAACATGTGTGAGATGAAGTGTTTTCTTTTATACAATCCGTTTGAGACGCTAGAGAACTGAACTTATACCCAAATTTTGTGTTTGAATTGAAAGACCTCCATCTTTCGCGTAATTCAAGATGGCGGTGCACATTTTGATCGTTTCAGGTGAAAGGCGACGTCCATTTAGAAAGCTGAAAATCTCGAAACTTCGAACTTCTTACCTCAAACTGCTAACCGCGGTTGACGTTTGCGGTTAACACACCAAACGTGGATCTAGAACTCTCATCGACAGATTTTCAGCCTCCATTTTCCGAGTTGTAAACCTTGGGGTATTCAGAAATAAAGGGTGAAAGTTTCTAAAGAAACTGTGGTGCTGCGTCAGTGGGGGTGACAAGGTAATTTGGTTACATCAACTAAAATAAAATTATAAATTGGCCACCGTAACGTGTTAAAAATCTTTTAAACTCGTTACTGTGGCCAATTTACAATTTCAACTTTGTTGATACAACCAAATTACCGTATTCAGAAATAGCTGTCTATTTTGCTTTTCGCTTGGCTACTACTTTTACATACTATTGCATAACATCTCAGATCTCTAGAATGTTTGTTGCACTTTTTCTATGGCTGTGATTAAATCAGTCTTTCCTTATAGGAAGCCTTATCCCCTTTTACAGTTCTCCTGCTCTTCTGTGATGATTGAGTAGCTGAAAAAGAAAGGTTTTTCGACAGATCTGTAACAATAGCGACCGAGGACTGAAATAGGGTCGTGCATTGGACCGTAACAAAAGCCATAATTTAATCTTTCATTTATTTAACACCACGAAGCGTTCTTGTCTAGCACACCAGGGGCGATTCTAATTTTAACATTTTCTCCCATCTTTTGAACTCAAGGAGAGATTTTTTCTTTTCCTTTTTTTTTTTTTTTCAGTACTTAATCAATTCTTGAATGAAGAGCGGCAAAGGTAAAAACTTCACAAGAACCATTTGCTCTTAGAAACTTTTAATTTTTCGCTCTCAGTGAAAATAGTTGCAGAAGGTCACCAATGTTATGTGACTGCACCTACATTGGGCTTTTATATTTTTTCGCACGGACGGTCATGGATCTGCCTACAGAAATGCGCTTAAAATATTTCCCAGTACTACTGAGTTACGAACCGTCAGCCTACTCGCCTGACTTTGGATGTTATGCAACTGCGTTATTTGCAACGTTTTAGTCACAAGTATCCTCAAGTCAAGCTGCTGTTGAATTGCCGAAAAAAAAAAGAAAGAAAGAAAGGATTGCGCGTCAAACAGTTTTACTACATAAACCATATGCTAATCAATTACGGAATTTGATGTCAAAATGACACCGATGTTATGTAACTGCACCTAGATCCCAAGTTAAGAAATTATTAGTTTGAGCTTTTGCTGATTAAAATGTATTCCAAGAAAGATTAATGCAAGTGGCGTCTTCAAATTTTTAACCCTATTCTGGTACTGAGGAAGTCACTTACCGTAATCAAAAAGCGGAGAGTCAGCCAAAACGTCAGCCAGTACGACACGGTGCTACCGGTGCGGAAAGGTACACTAAACTGACGTCGTCATGCACGAAGCTTAGCACCTTTATCACGTACTAGCCCAATGAATCCTTAGCAACAGTTATTTTTGCATTCTTTTGCAAAAGAAACTTCTCTGTGATTGGTCCTCGTGATCTTAAAGCGTATGTCTGAAAGCAATTTTAATTAAAGGCGGACTGAATAGATAGACCGCCGGCAAATTGACTAACTAATGTTGATGTATCACGCAATTTCTTAGCAGTGTTTAGGACGCGAAAAACTAAAATTAACGTAGAGAAATTTAAAAAAATTTGGGCTGCTGAGGTGAAAACGCAAAAATATTAGAATTCGCTTCAGTGATTCATGGAGGATGAAAGAACAACAAAAACCAAATATTTTGTTTCATTCTGTTTTCTGATCGACCAACCGAAACGGATGGTCTAGAGTCCGTTCGTGTTGCAAAGGTCAGGTTCTGTAAATGACAATGAACTTAATTTGCATTCCTGTGGTCAAACTTGGTTAATTAAAAAATTTATTTTGTCGAAACATGGCATCGCCTGATGTAGGCCACTAAGGAAAAAACACCCCTTAAATCTGGTGTCGGGAGAGCTTGATCCTGCTGGAGTACCTCTTTAAAGAGACCCTTTCACTTTAAAACGGGCAGAAAATCTAGCTTTGCTTCAGTCAAAGTTTGGTTCTGAAATACGGTCTTCGCAGTTCACTTCGAATCACGCCGACTAGAGAGCTCGTAACTCCAATTAATTTACAATAGAAAGCTCTCTAGATGATAGGGTTTCTTGATCTTCAAAGCAGAATTAATATTACACATTGTGGGTGATTTTTAACCTTGATATGTATACGGTACAAGACCCTTATCCTTTTTATCGCGGTTATCATTATGTTTAAGAGTTGAAAAGATAGGTTTTTGACAAAAAAAGGAAAATGGTCAAACCTACTACGCACACTTTTATCTCACTTCCGAATAATGTTGTGCTATCAATAACATCGGAGAGGAATCCCAAATACGTTACTTTGGTCAGGAAAGACGCCTTATTATTTTGTTTATCATAGCTATAAAAGCTACATACAATCGACTTTGAAGGGTGTTAAAACGCCTTGGTTTTGATTAGCGCAATGCCATAGCATGCTTCGATAGATTTCATGTGCTTCGATAATTAATCTGATAAAAGGTCCCTATGATCGCAGCGCTGAGGGCGACATAATTGAATATCAATACTTCAAATGTTAACGCCTCTCAGACTTAAGATCTACGGGAGATTATTTTGTATTGTTTCGAGCTGATGCACCTATTAATAGGTAGACCCGTTGACAACAATTTTAATATTTCCCTCACGGTCCAGTGGGTGTCAATAATGTAATTAACAAACCACATACCAGAGAGATAACACGGTCTAGCGGTACTCAAACAAAGCTCTTCCAAACTCAGCCACAATGTTGCGTAATGTTGACTACAAATTTCACCTGTTTTCAATATACCCGCGTTTCTTGTAACGAACCAAGGGACATAGTTAAGTGTTGGCTGCTTCTGGGCTTGTGTCATGTCGAGTAAATTTTCAGATCTGGTTTGTCGGTCTCTTAGAGACTCCTTCACTGTTGCTCTATGTGATTTTACGCAACAGTGCTCCTTTGATGAAAGAAGTTTTTGTCAGTAACACAAGCCGCACTATGTTTACGGTCCATTGAACAGACCAATTATGAACTATTTATAAACGTATGACGCAAGCTTTCGTGGGAAAAACTGGTTGAGGTAGTTTGTTTGGCCCTCTAGGGTTCAGCACGTCTCTTTCCTACGCTAGACGCTACTTTCCCCACGCAACACGCTTTCTTTCCCCACGCTCCCTCTATCGTCTACGCCTTCAAATATTTTAAAATATTGCTCTGATCTTTGCGGTCGAAAACCACAATGTCGTCGATAAG